GCTCCTGCTCCTGCTCCTGCTGCTACGATGACGACGACGACGACGGCTACAGCTACGATTACGACTAGGTACGACTACGACCACGACTACGACTACGACTTCTGCTACGACTACGACGTCTACTGCTACGACTACGACCACTGTATCGACTACGACGACTACGACTGCTACTACTACAGTACCTCTCACTACAACTGTTACAACTAGTCTTGCTATACCCACTACCACTCTGACTTCACTTGCCTTCGAGATATCAGCTAACTAGTACTTATACTGCTACCACTGGCCACTTCGATTACCACCAAAGGCTGCACCTGCTCCGCACTGATCGCCGGGCCCCGGGGAGCCAGGGCCGCGCCGGGCACTGCCCGGGCACCGGCCCCGGCGCTGGGTCCGCTGGAAGCTTCTCGGCGGAAACCTGGATACTAGTATATTAAAGTATATTATAGTATATAAAAGTATATTATAGTATATTATAGTATATCATAGTATATTATTAGACAACAGTACCACTTCCTTTTTTGGGAGACCTCTGTTCTGCCTGCCAAGCCAGTATAGAACGCCTAAAGGGCTAAGGTAGTAAAGCAGAGACCGAGAGACTAGTCACCACCACTACACAAAGTAGTCCCCACTAAACACACATAGTTAGTCACTCAGTCTCATCAGCAACAGGTTCATATTCGGCACCTCCAGGCTCCTCCCGCAGACAACAGTACTACTGCGGTTTAGGGTTTACGCTAGAAAGTGCGGTAAACAATTTACGAGGGTTTAGTTAGGATTTGGGCAGAAAGTACAATAAACAGAAACAACAAAGTTTAGGCTGCCAGGTAGAAGGAACGGCAAACAGCAAGCCGATGCTGCAGGCTAGGTAGAAAGAACAGTAATCGCGGAAATAGTAGAAGTAGTAGTAGTCGTCGTCGTCGAAGACGAAGTAGTCGCAGTATCGGCCAAAATCGCAGCAATCACAACACACCAGAATCGTAGCTCGACAGCTGATACTTTCAACAGGACGTAAGGTCAGAAACGATTCAGCCAGCACACATGGTCGCAGCCACTCAATCCTTGGCAGAAACTTGTTGCAACCAGAGCAGCGGGAGTAGAAAGCTGGCGTAGCCTTGCCAAACCTGGTCTCAATTCATCGCGCCACTGCTGCCCTCCTATTGCTCGCTCTCTTCCCTTCCGGAGTCTCAGCAAATCTGCGCCATCAAAAAGCAAGTTCAACTTATGTCGAAGTCTCGGCTGAGCGGCTGCTTCAGGTACTGTCCCCAATGCACCGGGCAAGCTGCGATGATGCTGCCGGATGCGCGCAGAGACCCAGAAAGGGCTGCCATGCCAACCTTAGCTCTGGGAACCCTTAAAGCTCCGTGCAGCACTGTGGAAGTTACAGCGAGCTACTATGATAGCATATTGTAGGTTGTAGATGATGTATTTTATCTCACATATTAGATGTTACCAGAGATATGTTATCCATCAACTACTATATATTATAAACTGTATAAACTACTATATATTATAAACTGTATATGCATATATATATATATACTAGCTATTGTATAATTTATATTGTATATTGTATAACATATACTTTATCTTATCAGCTTCTGCCGCCTGGGGACCACGTTGCCAATGCTACCCAGGCCTTGGGCCTTCAGCCGTTGCACCGTTCCTTTCTGGGCCGCCATGCCAACCTCTCGCCATGGCCCCCACTGCACGGAGACCACTTTCTCGCCCAGGGCCTGTCCGGGACTTGTGACTTGCGGACACAGTCCGACATTACCTGATCCTGGTTTCCAAAAAGCAATCGAAATTGGTGGGGAGGCACATCCGGAATAAACCCTTGTGGGGTTGGGACTTGCAACGTTGAGGGCTTAGCATGCAGAAACCCTGAGAGTTGGTCCTTCCAGTAACGCGCTTGAGCATCCAGGGCCGCGTTGGCCGCAGAGTAGTTGCCCTGGCAAGATCAGGGATCCTAAATGCTTGCGTGTGCGTGTGGGCATGTGCATGTATGTTTACATACATATTCGTACTATTCGTGTTGCAATAAAACCTACCGTGATCACCACAGCAGTCACAACAATAATCACAGCAGTAGCAGTAGTAGCAGTAGCAGTAGTAGCAGCAGCCGTAGTAGCAGTAGTACTAGCAGCAGCAGCAGCAGCAGCAGCAGCAGCAGCAGCAGCAGGTGTTGTTGTTGTTGTTGCGTACTAGTATATGTGGTGCATGTAGTAACGGCTTAGACCGCAGGAGCAGGAGCAGCCTTAAAGCGTCCCTGCCTGGCCAGGGGAGCCCAAGAGAGCCGAGGTGGAGGAGAACAGGACGGCGAAGTCAAGGGCTTGCTTTTGGGACTGCAGGCAGAGGTGGAGATGCCGGGCACCGAAGACCTTCGCTCCGTAGGCCTTTTCCAGGTGCTTCCGTGTGAGCTTTGGCAGCGTGGCATCGTCCAGAACGGCAGCCAAGTGGATCAAACCCTTTACGGTGTAGCTTGAGCTGCTCTTGAGATTTGTCACCAATTCTTGTACATCGGTCAAGCTGGCAATGTCGCAGGGCTTGACGAGAAGCTCGATGTCAAAGTCCTGCAGCTTGTCCCACATCGATTTCAGGTCGTCGCCTACCACGCCTCGTCGCGAAAGTAGCACCACGGACTTCGCACCTTCCTCAGCCATCATCTTGGTTGTCACAAGGCCAAGTGCACCAACACCACCAGAGAGCACGTAAGATCCTTCCTCAGAGCACTCCATTCTGGAAGGCTGCGTCAGCACAACCTTTCCGATCTGCTGAGCTCGCTGCAGGTAGCGCATTGCCTCGATACCGGAGGCCAAGCCCTCGTAAAGTGTCAGCGGCACCTCCTTCCACCATCCTTGCTCAATTTGGGACACGAGCCGCCGCATCAGAACGTTGTAGCGCTCCGGCTGGAACTCCATGACCCAATCCATGGCGATCTTCTCATACTGCACATCGGGACGTTCGCGCCTCATCTGGTCATGGCTCCAGATGAGCCTCTTGCCAATCTCCATGAAGCGCCCTCCCTTCGAGAGAAAGCTCAGAGACTTGGGGATGTAGTCGTCGTGACTCAGTGAGTTGAGCACCACATCTACACCGTCGGCACCGTCCTCCTTGAGGAAGGCCTTCATATCCTCTTCAAACTTCTTAACATCCCGACTGCTAGTGATGTACTTGACCCCCATGTCCCGCAGGTGCTGCACCTTGTTCGGGCTTCCAGCGGTGGCGAAGATGGTGGCACCCACGCGCTGGGCGAACTGCACGGCCACCAACCCCACGCCGCCGGTGGCCGCGTGGATCAGGACGCGCTCGCCCTTCTGGACCGGCGCCAGCTCCTGAAAGGCCTCCTCGGTGGTGGCGAAGGTCACAGACCAGGCAGCCATCTGCTCGAAGGACCATTTCTTCGGCTTGGGGGCCAAGAGCAAAGCTTCTGTGCATGCGTAGGTCTGCAAGCAGCCCCATGCAATGCCGAAGACGTCGTGCCCCGGTCGGAGGCCGGCTGCCTCCTTCTCGCCGCCCCCAACGGAACACACGGTGCCGGCACAGTCTCCTCCTGGATTGCCAGGGTCTCCCGGGTACATGCCCATGACGTTCCTGGCAGCTGGACAGTCGCTGCAAACAAACCGCAAAGCAAGAGGCTAGAAATCGCTAGACTTCGCAAACGGAGACTGCTCCCCCAAAAAGTCTAGTCGGGCCGAAGCTCAGGACATCTCGGAAGTTCAGGCCCACTGCGCGGATCCTCACCTCGACCTGCTCCGGGCCTGGCTGTGGTCGCGAGGCCTGGGGAACGGGCCGAAGGTTCGACAGACTCCCTCGCGAGGACATCTGCAAGCGCATGGGCTTCTGGACCTGCACCTGGCTGCGGGAGAGCCGGGACACCTGGGTGCCGCCCTCTCTCAAAGCCAATTCGGTCTCACCGCCGCCAGTTCCGACGCCGGTCAAGCTGCCCAGCTGCTCCACAATCGCCTTGGCAGCGGATTCCGGGTCCTCGTGCCTCGAGTCCAAGTCGAAGCAGCGAAGCTTGATCGATCGCTCTTCCATACGCACCGTGCGGGCCAGGCCCCACAGACCTGCATCTGAAGACGAGGCATCGCTTGCGAGATAGTCTGTTGCTAGGAGATCACTCTACCCCGAATGCAATTCGCGCTTGCATGACTGCTGGACGCCTGCATGAAGGTAGCTGCCGGCCCCGCTGCTTGTAGCCACGTCCTGCAGCTGCTTGTACTGCACTTTCTGATGCAGAGGACGGGCGACAGCCTCAAGAGATCTTAACGTGTCTACACGGCTGGCGCCTGCGTTCCGTAAGTCATGTAGGCAATCTGTGGGGCATCCTCACCTTTTGCGATCACCGCAATTGCTGCCTGCAGATCAGTTGTAAGTTTCCGTGCGTGTGCCTGGAAATTCCGCTTTCCGCCTGCGCCAAGACTACCGCTTCCTGCAGCACGGCAAGCTCTGCCGCGTCCTGCCAGACTTGATGCTCAAAGCAGCAAAACGGGGCTCACTGCAGCTTCCCCCCCGCCCCTGTCCTGCAACGCGCCGAGGTGCACGACCGCTTTGGTTCCTTCCTTGAAGGCGAGGTCCCCCGCAGTGTCCGTGAAGCTGCTGGCCTTCCCCAAAAGCAAGCCCGAGCATCCCGAACCCTCCAGGCCCTAAACTCCCCAGTTAAACCAACCGTTTTTGGCCCCTTGGGCCTCGAGGAGCTTCTGCAGAGCCTGGCGCAGGGCCGGCGGGGCACCTGGGAACAGAAGCATGGAAGCTGATGCAGCATGGAAGCTTCGGTGGGTGGCTCCAGGCTTTGCAAAAGGTTTTGGGACATCCTGGTCCTAGTTCCACTTCGTCGCACTTCTTTACCATGCTCGTGTCGTGCACTGACCTTGCTTGTCCCCTGAACCAAGAATGGAAGCTTCTGCAGCTCATGCGAGCTCCTGGGTGCTGCACCGACGAATAAGATGCCCTTGCCGGTCGAGTCTTTGGCTTTTCCAAGGGCCCCCTCCATTGGCACCCAGTCCACTTCCAAGATATCTTCCTCCACATCATCTGTTGCTTGTTGCAGCATCTTTGCCTCGCTGCCCCACACACCAGGCTCAAGGCTTCACGGTTTAGAGCTTCAGGGCTTAGGGTCTTTGTAGGACTCGGCAAAAGAAACCGTAAACGAATATGCAATCCAGTCACGATGTGCTCAGGTCGAACCTCTCGGAACCTGAAAGAGAGGACCCACCGCATTCGCGGACACAGAAGGAACCATCTAAAGATCCTGGGACTACCAGAGCGTAGTTACACATGGTAGTCCACTGCTGCCTCAAGCACGCCACAACTTGTTGACTCATGGTTTGTGTTTGTGTTGAAGGAGCCTTTTATTGCAGTGGCTATTGGTGCTTTCCTGCCTCAAGGTCTCGAAGCCGAGCATGGCCGTTCCGTCCTGTCGATCTGTGCTGTGCAGGTAAGCTGAAACCACTGTCAACTGTGGCGTGCTGGGGGGGCAGTCTTGCTGTAGGAGAATTATCTGTGGAGATGCTTTGAGACCACCCATGGAGTCATGTTGACATGCCAGGCTCCTGCTTGCACAGCTTGGAGTTGACACAGTTCTCCCGGTCTGTGATCTCCACGAGCTCATGATGAACGAAAATGTCTGTCTGCGATCCTGTGATTGCATGTCAGCTTTCAGCTGGCCAGTAAAATGGCAGACACACGCAAAAACTACTCCGTACAGCGCAAGGCCTAGCACTCAGGTCCTTGTGCGTAGTGCGTAACTGTCTGAACCATCAGCGGGATGCGCAGGGAGTTGAGACCATCGATCTTCGTGCTGTGGCGCTCGAGCATAAGAGCCATGCTGCCCTGGAAGGTCCCGTCCTTGCCAAGTGCATGAAATTAGCTCAAGAAGTCTTAGCCGACGTTTTGTCTTTATCAGAACAGGTAAAGTGTACCCAAGCTGTTGTGTGCGGCAAGGTCTCGATGACTGCAGGATTGAACAGGTAACCGCTGTTTGTGCCGTCGTCTTCGGCAGCAATTCGTGCAAGCACCTGTAAGGGTCAACACAGCTGCAGTCGCCACAAATGCAGGCATAGAACGGGCATAGAACCGTGCCTCTTTCTCTCCGCGAAGGATGTGCCGTACCGTCCTGAATCGAGGCTGCAGCGGCAGGCCAATCTTTGAGAAGGGAACCTCAGCCAACAGATCAGTACGGCTACACGCGTCAGGTTTCTCTTGGGGGATTCTAGAACAGCCGTGCTGATGTGCTGAGACTGTCCCAGCTATTACAGCGTGATGCGGACATGTTGCTACATTGCGATGGCAAAGTATGGATGCTTGCTGCTTCAACACTACCATGTACTGTGCCACACAGCAATACAAGTTGCGACGGTGTCCGACCGTACGCCCATGTGGTAGCATGGCTTCACCAATGTCCTATCTAGGATTGCATTGCTGTACTGTCACGTGGTTGAGTCATGATCGTGCGTGTTATGCTTCCTATGTCTCGCATTGCTGCTGGTAATGCTGTCCATTTCAACACATCTACACATTGAACAACCTATCGATCTATCGATGTATCCATGCATCTATGTATCTATCTGTCTATCTGTCTGTCTATCACCAAAAACCGTGTAACCGCCGTAACATTTCACCTTGACTATGTGCCCATATATAAATATTTCTTGATCCCTCGTGGGCGCATATGTGTGTACATCCATATGGGGGTTTCCGAAAATAGGGGACCCTAATATAGTACCCGTACCCTAAATAGTAGGATTCTTATTACAAGGACCCCAAAATAAGGAACCCCCTCATTTTCGGAAAACTCCCATATACATGCAAAGGGCACGGTGTGCGTGTGTTGTTTTGCGGGCTCCAACAGATGCTTGCACCTTCCGGTTTAGGGTTTAGGGTTCAGGGTTTTGGGTTTAGGCACTTTCCGGCACCACTCCGCTCTTGTGCCACTACTACACTCTACTTACCTTGCTCTCCGGTGTGAACGTCTTGACATATTGATGTCATCTGATAGCCCGTTACACACGATCATTGGCAGAGCGGGATCTGTGTGTGTATGTATCTAGATAAAGCCGCACAATGCTGCACGGACACATACTGAATTGCTGTTGCAATCTTCTGCTCGTAGCAGTAGTGATTTTGCTACCACCCCACAAGTTGTATGGTAATACTATGCCACTATATCCTGCATTGCTGCCACATGAAGTTTTAGTCATATAAATACCCATGCAAAGTTGAATTGGAATTCTGTCAGTGCTCTAGGGCTGCTGCGATGGTATTTCATGAGTTTCCCATACCACTCGCACAGGTATGCTGTCACGGGATGCATAAAATGTCTAAGCTTGTTATTTCATGTGTTATCCTATTCCCATGTGCGCTCACTGTCGTTGTATCACTTCAGAACCTACCATGTTATAAATTTGTCTTGCTATTGAGATATTGCGCTGTTGATGCTTTATTGCATGCTCGACCGAGTCTCCATATACAAACATACATACATACATACATGCATGCATGCATGCATGCATGCATGCATGCATACGTACGTACATACATACATACATACATACACACACACACATACATCTATATGTAAATGTATGTATGTATGTATGTACGTGCGTACGTGCGTACGTGCGTACGTGCGTACGTGCGTACGTGCGTGCGTGCATACGTACGTATGTAGGTATGTATGTATGTGTGTACACACTGATGCTGATTTTCTACTTGTGCAGAAGATATAAATACATCACACATCTTCATGCAGGGGCAGAGATATGTTGTCTTCTTTGGGTATATGCAGTAGCATCAGAATCACCTCCTGACATGCTTGCCGCAAGGCATACAGGCGTTCGATGGTCACCTCCTCATCACAGCGCTGGCGCACCTGCCCGCTTCAGCCAAAAAGTCTGCCCAACACAATCGGAACGCATCGCCCTGAAGGGTTCGTGACAATGGGATCCCACCCAGCTCCCGCCCTAAACCACACCCTAAACCCTAAGCCCTGGCCCTAGTCCCACATCCCAGTGGTGGCTGACTTGATGTTTGGAGTGATTGCGAAGCGTGGCTGAGCACTGTTGCTGCATCATCACTTCCAGTGTTCTGATGTCCGAGATGGCTAAGAAAGCAATCGCCCATGTAGGAAGCAGATACCATCCAAAGCCTCCTCCAGATTCACGGATGGATACTCTGGCTGGACGAAGCTCAAGTCCAAATCCTCGGGGGTCACATCCGGTTCAAGACAGCCGCACACGAGCAGCTGCCAACACGTCTTGTGAACCAAGCCGAGATACTCCCTCTGCATGGGTCGCCAGCTTCTTCCGCTCCTTCGGGTCGTAGCTACTCATTGACCAGTGCTGATCGGGGAAGAGCTCGAGATACCTGGCTCCATGACCGTAGGCTACTTCTGCGGCCCCCTGCACAACAACTCCTAAGACTCTTACCAGTGCCAACAATGACACCTGACCTGAATCCGAATGAGAGCCGGGGTGGCAAGTCCACGTCGCGTGCCAGTTTTCCTTGCTCCTCCCCTTGCTTAAGCACTAGAGGAGCTGTGAAGCCGACCTGCCAAGTGGATGTGAAGCTGCAACGCGGACTGAGATTACGAATGTTAAGAGAGGTGGTAGTAGTAGTAGTAGTAGTAGTAGTAGTAGCAGCAGCAGTAGTAGTAGTAGTAGTAGGAGTAGGAGTCGTAGTAGTAGCAGCAGTAGTAGTAGTAGTAGTAGTAGTAGTAGTAGTATTAGTAGTAGTAGTAGTAGTAGTAGTTGTTGTTGTTGTAGTAGTAGTAGTAGTAAAAGTAGTAGCAAAAGTAGTAGTAAAAGTAGTAGAAAAAGTAGTAGTAAAAGTAGTAGTAAAAGTAGTAGCAAAAGTAGTAGTAAAAGTAGTAGTAAAAGTAGTAGTAGTAGTAGTAGTAGTAGCAGCAGTAGCAGTAGTAAGAGTGGTGGTGGTGGTGGTAGTAGTAGTAGCAGCAGCAGCAGCAGTAGCAGTAGCAGTAGCAGTAGCAGTAGCACTACCAGTAGCAGTAGCAGCAGCAGCAGCAGCAGCAGCAGTAGCAGTAGCAGTAGCAGTAGCAGCAGCAGCAGCAGCAGCAGCAGCAGTAGCAGTAGCAGTAGTAGTAGTAATCGTCGTCGTCGTAGTAGTCGTAGTAGTCGTAGAAGTCGTAGTAGTCGTAGTAGTCGTAGTAGTCGTAGTAGTCGTAGTCGTCGTAGTCGTCGTAGTCGTCGTAGTCGTCGTAGTCGTCGCAGTCGCAGTCGCAGTCGCAGTCGCAGTCGCAGTCGCAGTCGCAGTCGTCGTCGTCGTCGTCGTCGTCGTAGTCGTAGTACTACTACTACTACTACTACTACTACTGCCATCATCACGCTTGTTGCTGTCACTCGCATGAACAGCAATTATTTGGTAAAACTTTGATATCGAAATAACCGAAACGGAGACAAACACACTACAAGTAGCAAGAACGATCACAACTAGAGAACAACAACGATGAGAGTATCCAATCATAAGAAGAAGAGCAATCTCAATGCAAATGTTCATGCTACCTGCATGCAGATGCATGACAATATACATCAACACATTTGTGATCTTCCGGCCACGGGCCTTGCGGATGTTCCATTGCTTGTCCTTGCAGTTCAGGTGGAACTCGCCTGCCGCCAGGACCATTTCCAGATAGGTTGCCCCAGGCACCACGATCTCTCCGAAGATGATGTGGTGGCCTTGGCTTCACAGCAGGCTACAGCCGGGCCCGCAGAGTCCCAGAGCGAAGCCTCAGCCTGAGGCCCTGGCTCACAAGCTGCAGCAGCTTTCCTGCAAAGGGCTGGGCAAAGACCTGGGTGCCCTCGGCCGTTCGAAGCGTCCGCGACAGCAGGGCGTGCCGCCGCGCTTGCCAGGCGAAGGACTGGCGCTTGAAGACCGGTGCCACCTCCACCGAGGTCACGGGCACCATGTCACGGGCGTCTTCCAAGACCACATGTGTGTTGGTGCCTGCCAGGCAGGTTGGGAATACTAATTACTTACAGCGTCGAAGAAGATGTTACTTGTAGTTGCTACAGTTCTCGGTCGCTACTTGTGAGACAAAACCAGAACCAAGAGCTCACAGAGGTTTCGGCTGGTGCAAGCATCCAAAGATACCCAGACAGCCGGTCCTCCAAATCCAAAAGAGGAAAGGCCAGACGACACATGGTCTGCAACCGAGGCAAGCTCCAGCAGCCCCTCCACCGGGATGTTGGTTGGGAAATCTTCCAAATCGCAGTGGGGGTTCAGCTTCTGGAAATGCAGGTTGGGCGGAGCTCGTTGGCGAGGTAACATGCACATCACCTTCAAGAGGCCTGCCATGCCTGCAGCTCCTTCCAGGTGGCCTCGGCCGGAGAAGAACCCATCAAGATCGAACAACTGACATCCAGAGCCTGAAATACCCAAGGCCTCCCAAAAAAAGGCGAAGGCCCTTCCTCAGGAAGTTCGAAACCCTCAAAAGCCTCTGCAGATCTCTCGGAGCTCTCTCCCCTCCTCCGGTGAAAAACCCTCCTTGCTGGCAAAGGGGCCCAGGTTCGTCTTTACTGCACAGAGGGCCAGTGGCACGTCGGCTGAGCGGCCCTCACCAAGAGTGTTCCCCAAGGCTCCGACCTCGATGGGATCTCCAAGGGCAGTGCCCGTCCCGTGCGTTTCCATACAGGAAACGGATTGCGGCTCCAATTCCGCCTCTGACAGAGCAGTCATGATCACCGCCTGCTGCGAAGGTCCGTGTGGGGCGGTCTGGCTACTGCTGCGGCCATCTTGATTTACCGCTGAGCCCTTCAGCACCACAACTGGCTTCAAGTCAATTCCACCGTCCAGCAGTGAGAGTGTGGCTGATCCACAGCCCTCTCCACGAACGTAGCCATTAGCTGATGCATCAAAGGTCTTGCAACGTCCGTCCTCTGACAGCATGTGGGCCTTGCTGCAGGCAATGAAAGGACCTGGAATGAGGCAGAGATTCACTCCCGATGCGGCTCCGACTGTGGATCTGCCACGCCGAAGGTTCGAGACGATGACGTCCACGGCGACCAAAGAGGAGGAGCAGGCGGTGTCGATGGTGGCACTGGGCCCCTTCAAGCCGAGCAAGTAGGACACACGATTGGAGGAGATGGAAGTGGAAACGGCCAAGCCGGTGTAGGGTCCGATCTTCTCCGACGCTTCGGTGGAGCCGCTGAAGCCCATGTGACCCCAATCGTTGTTGCACTGGCCCACCGTAATGCCGGCATCCATGCCTGTAAGGGAGCTGAGGGGCATGCCAGCCACGTGGAAAGACTGGTAGATGACTTCCAGCAGAAGCCGCTGCTGAGGGTCCATGACTTTGGACTCTGCAGGGCTGAGGCCAAAGAAGGAGGCATCGAAGAGGTCGGCTCCTCTGCTAAGCCACTTGTGCGATGGATCTCTGACAAGCTTTCCCATGAACGGACGCAAGTGACAAAGCGGGAGAGAGAGAGAGGGAGAGCGCGAGAGAGAGAGAGAGAGAGAGAGAGAGAGAGAGAGAGAGAGAGAGCGAGAAGGGCGGCGCTAGAGCGAGAGAACTAGAGGGAGAGAGAAAGACGGAGACAGAGACAATGACAGAGACATCACCCAGTTATCTTAATAGTATATAATTAGTAAGGTCCACGACATGACGTGATACTGCAGCAATGCTGCTCCATGGTTGCTCTTATATGAATGCGCAACACTGCTGTTTCTAGAATCGACTCTAGAATGGCACTGGTTCAAGTGGCATGCAGGCATACAGATAGACCGGACGGACGGAACGACGGACAGACGCAGGCAGACAAACACAGACAGACAGGCATGCACAAGTGCAAGCGTACATGCAGGATCATGCAAGTCTTCGCGAAGAAGCCACTTTCAGCCAAGGTTCCTTTGACAAAGGCCCCATGTCGCACCGTCATCATGCCCGGTACCTCTGCATCCTCGTCGTAATAGGCATCCACGTCCCATCTCTCCAGTGGGATCTCAGTCACGCCATCTGTCTTCTTTGTCAGCACATCCCACATTTCGTCCGGTGCGGTGCCCTCCAAGGGGAAACGGTAGGCTGCAGAGTTCACAGCAACCGGCGACCTGGCTGCGGCCGGTCCTGGTGCCGGGAGCGACCGCGGAAGGCGGGCGGCGGTCGCGCCCTTCTTTGCCGGCGCAGGAGCCGCAGAAGAGCTCGAGGCACTTTGGGACAAGAAGGTTTCGTGACCCTCCAGCTCCACAGACATGGGCCGTTCGGTCATCTCCGCCACCACAGCCTAGGAAGAGACGTGCGCAAAACAGAAGCAAAGCCTCAGCCTCGACTTTCCCTCAGAATCCCTCACTAAGGCTGCGACCTGGGCCCGGTTTGCGGGGAGATCCGAGGTCTCCCTGAACTTGGCCTTGACGATGATGGACCCGGGCTCCAAGCACAAATCTTCCAAATCTTCCGGCCGCAAGCCGGTCCTCTCGAGAATCTCCTTGAGCGCCTGGGCCTTGAACTCCTCTTTCTCCTCCAAACTCAGGGAATCGAAGTCTCCTGGGAAGGAGATCTCCAACTCCATCGGCGCCGGCGCCGTGACTGGGGAGGGTGCTGGTGCCGCAGCTGCCGCCGCGAGCTGCTCTGTGGCGAAAGCAGCGATGGCTTTCGTCGTGGGGTGGTCGAACATCAGCGTGCTCGGAAGCTTCAGGCCCGGCAGCTCCTGACAGCACAGCACATCTGCTGACACATCCTGCTTCGACAGCTGATGAGCTTCACGTATTTGTTGACGGAACGGACAGAGACCGCACCCCCGCCCTGCAGCCCTTCCCCCCCCCCCTCCCGCCCGCATGCTCGCATCTCTCGGATACGCAAGGCATCGGAACGCAATCAGGCCATGCACGGGAGAGACCAAACATCGGACAAACGCGACGGCTAGCACGGTGTGATACCTGTGTGATACCTCGCAAAAGTGGACCACGGCCACGGGAACCACGAAAGCCCCAAAAAAAACTGGGCAGTCAAACTGGGCCTTCGCCACGGAGTTCCGGAAGTCCACTGACGACAAGGAATCCAGGCCGGCCTCGCAGAGAGATCTCGCTTCTCACAGCTTGACTTGGTTACCCAGTGGGGGGGGCTCTTAGGACTTAGCATTTGGGGCCCAGGGCAGCGGCCTCCATGAGCGGAGCATCTGCGGTGAGCTCGTCAACGCCCAAGATTCCCAGAGCGATTCCTTGGACGACCTGACCCAGCTTCGCCTCGAGCTGATCGGGGCCTAGGCTACGGAAAGCCGCCGGGAGGGCGGCGGTGGCCGTGCCGGTCGCGATGGCGGTTTCCTCTTCGCCGGCAAACTCCTCGAGGATGGGAATCTCCGCCCCGAGCTCACGCAGGAAACGGCCCCACTCCACCTCATGCCAAGTCTCACGAACAATGCCCGGAGCTACGACATGCTAGGATCACCGCCACATGATGTTAGGATGGGTATGGCTTCCCTACAACACGCGCCTGTGCAAAACACAGCGAGGGCAAAGGCCATCCGCGGTTGCCGTTTCCCACCACGGCCAACCTGAAAGCCGCCTGGACGTGGCCGGGCGGCAGCTGCCGCAATGCCGAGTCGGCTTGCCCGGAATGATCCTCGCAGCTTTCACAGAGCTTGAAAGGAGAGCTCCGAGAGCCTCAACAAGCTGTCTAAGACAGCACGCTTTGGGCCCGTCCTTGCTGGCCATGCCGACCTCCGCCACGGGGCCCCACTGGACGCTGGAGAAGGGCAAAGAAGCCTTGTGCCTCCAAAGCCCCAAGCCGTCCAAGTAGGCGTTCGAAGCTGAGTAGCTCGTGCCGCGCGAAAGCCCGATGAGTGCAGAGACCGAGGAGAAGCCCACGAAGGAGTCTAGGTCGAGGTCCTGCTTTCAGAATCATTTTCGGCTTGAGTTCTGTGTTTGACTCTCTGTGTGTGACCAAGATGTTCCATCTCCTTGCTCGCTTCGTGCAGGTGCCATGCACCCGACACCTTCGGCTTGAAGACCTTGCTCATGCGCTCCATGCTTTGAGCCTGCGCAGAGCATCCCTTCCCGCTCCAGTCTAGCAAATTTGTGGAAGAGCAATGGGTACAGGCTCTGATTCGTCAGATGTTTGCCTTAAGCTCAACGAAGTCGATGACTCCTGCAGCATGCCTGGCAGCAGGCAAGCTTTTTGGACAGTTTCTGTCGACGTGCAATCCGATTGCGTTTCAAGAGCGACAAGTGCTGAGCACGCGTTCGAAGCATCATGTCGCGGCCCAAGATGCGCAATCCCGCCGAGAGGATTGTCTGGCAATTCCGAGTGTAGACGCTGCATCAGAGCTGTGACGTTGTCCTTCTGGCCCACATCACCTGGTCTCAACAAGCACCGATCTGAGTTGTGCTTTTCAAGCAGTAGCGGAACTCCTTTATCATGATGCAGAAGCATATTCGGAGATCTGATTGCCGATGGAGGTACAGGCCCAGGTGTGCACGGTGACTCCGGGCTTCACCTGCCAGGCAAGTACAATCCTACGGCAATCCTACGACGTTCAGACAGCTACGGAGCGAGCCACGGTCAACTAAGCAACTCCAACTTAGGCCCATGAACATCCATGCACGATCGTCCCAATACCTTGGGCTCACACGTCGCCGCCCCACAGCCCAAACGTTGCATCGCCTGCAGATCCTCCAGCTGCTGCACCGCTGCAGCATCACCAGAAGCGACGGCCCCGCGACGGGAGACCAGGAGCAGGTTGCGAGCACCGAGATCCTCGTGAATTTCCGGTGATTCCTGCTGTCACCGCTACGGTTATGCTGATTGTGATGACTTCCGCTGCCGGCGTTGTCGTCTCTTCATCATCAGCATTACGGCTGCCAGATAGCTAATTCCAATTGCTGCTCGACTTCGCCTTCGACAATAGCTCTCTCATCGTTCATCTAGCATTCTTCAAGCTAGCTCTATTGCTACTCCTACTGCCGTTGCTATCAGTCTTGGCTTTCGTCGTCTTACTCGTACTCTTGCCCGTACTCCTGCGACTGTACGCACTTCTCTATTGCTGCTGTTAGACTGCACTGTTTACTGCCCATATGCGACTTAATGGCTTCCTACGAAGCATTCTTCCTAATCCTTTTCCTAATCCTGTTCAGCATCATGGTGAGCAATCCTAACCCGCAAACTCGAATCCTGCCCCTGTGCTTGAAATTACCTTGCTTGCCAAGGACCGTCAGGGCGTGGGCGGTCTGTAGGCCAAGGCCACCCAGTCCACCGGTGACAAGCTGCGTCTTCCTGGGATCTGCCAGGGTGTTGACCTGAGATTCAGGGAGGTTTTCAGGGTTTTGCGGTTTTGGGCCATGTGGCTACTTGTTGCTGTTCTCAGAACCGTCCCTGCTACACATGACAATGCTGTCTTCCACGATTGAGGCTGATGATGCATTTGACTTCTGCATGGGTGTTAGCTTGTTCTTCCGACCACGAAAACAGGTGTAGGGCTACCGTTGCAAAACATCATTACGGGCCCAATTGATATGTACCCTGAATCTGCTCTATCGACAAACCCAGAACATATCTTGTGTGTGCCAGTCAGTATTCGTTTCCTTCTGGGTGAACGTCGTCAAGAGCAGTAGGTAGCATACTGATAGCACGGAATGCTCTGCAAACTGAAAATCGCTGCAAGAACCTGCGTTTGTGCACTGCTTCACGTAAAAACCTATCAATGCCTGTAGCGACCATAGTTGCTAAGAAGATTGTTGTTTCTTCCGAAAGTCCTGCAAGCGTGCATGATGTGAATCCGCTGATGCAGGATCAATCACAAGCCCCGGCCGGAAGCATCAGCTGCCCCACCTTTCAC